ATGCAGCTGGCTCCAGTTCTCTCCAGCGCAATCCTTTTCTGCTGCTCAAAGGCTGACGTGAAGACTTGACATTATGGTATTTGTAAATGGTAAGTGGACTGCATTATTATTGCGCTATGCGCTAAATGCTAACATTTAACCCATTCACACACATCGCTGAGGCTGCCATGCAAGGTGCCAACCAGCTCATCCTCGTTAGGGGATTGGAGACGGGAGCAGTCAAGTCATGCTTGGAATACCTGAAGCGTTTTTAGCATTTAGCTCGCTAGCTACCACTGTAATGTGCTTAAACCCTCCCGTTTCCCCCGGGCTTCTCCCACATTTTACCAATCTCTCCCGATGTCCTCAGATTAAAATGATTCCCCGTAAATCTCCCATTTATTTAATATAATAAATAAAACAAGAAGAAAAGCTGCCCAACGAGTTCAGGAGGGATGATGTGCTGCTAAACAGAGTATTTGCTCCTAAAATAAATACGTGCAAACCAGAAAAATTATTTGCGATGTGCGAGTAAAAACTACAGCCTACACTTATTTTTGTGCATTATGATTTTTTAGTTAGTTAGTTAGTACTAAAACTACTAAAACAAATGTATATTGTATAAAAGGCAAGTTATTATTTTGGCCGGTAAAAAATATGCATGTTGGGTGGATTTTTTCATCTACCAGTCCCATTGGCAGGTGAGCCAAAAAGTTAATTTCCACTCCTGCATGTAGTCTAACTATCGGCTAACTTTGTCTGTGGTCTACTGTTTTCTGTTGTCCTGCCATGTCTGGAATGGGTGGGCCTAACCATAAAATGACTGGGAAGAGGCTAGAAAGAAGAGCTGAGGGGAAGTAAAGACAGCTTGACACTATAAGCAACACCCTATTTGATCCACTGTATAAAAAGTATTGATTAGTGCAGCTTTAATCTTTCAAGACTAATGGTCATCTGCTACTATGTTGTTCTATTACTGAGTGTTTCATTACAGCACAGGTGGACCAACCCTTTGATTAACATAGTGAACAGAGAGATCCTTAGAGCCCAGCGCTCTTTGTTATTAGCAAGAATACAAAGGCAACAGATGACAGTTGAGTCCTGTATGTCAGATGCTCTCTCTTGTTGTCCCCCTCTTTATTTCAGCTCTCTATTTCTCTCTATTTATAATCTATACAATATTATTCCCAAACATCCCACTGTGCATTTATCCACTTACCATTAAGTCAATGGCGTAATTTTCCCTCATGGAGATGCCGAATTGTATGAAAGGATTCAGTGTTTTTCACCCTTGCCTTGATGTCAACTGGTAGCTCTATCGCCGCCAGTTGTCACTGTGTCTCATAAACAGCTCTTGCCAATTGACAAAGTAATTGCTCAGCTTTTGACATGCTACTGAGAGGCTTAATCACTTCTATATAATGATCAGTTCCAGCTGCCATTTTGGTGTCGACTATCCTGACGTTTGTTTGCAGACTGGTAAAAGCTTGTTTTCAGTTGTCTGTGGGACTGTCAGTACTGGAGTACCGTGACATTTTGCAATCAAAGGCACAGAGAGCTCTTTTGTTCCAAACTGAGCGTACAAAGTGGACGTCTTTGAAATACTTTGAGGTGAAATACAATGTGTGAAATGTTCTTGTTGAGAAGATCCATGTGCTGTGGATGTGGATTTTTCTTTGATCAGTTGTTTTGATTCCACTTGAGCCTTTGAATAGAGTGAAATGAATTATGAAGAAGGATTAATGAACAAAATGATAGAAATGCTGCACAAGGGAATCTTTGTTAATCTGGTTATTTAATGCTTAATGCTTCTTGTCCATTTATTTTTACTTTGTGTTTCATTGCATTTTTTGCTCTGTTTCGCTACGTTTTGGTGAATTAAAAATACTTGATCTTTTTATGTTAATTCAAAACTTATTTCAAACATGGCTGATAATGCCATGTTAGCGTTTGCATTTTTAATGATTACTCTGTCAAGCATGGAGCAACACATTCATCCACTGCAATTTGTAGAAGGCAAAACTATACTGAATGGCCTTGCTGTGCTGCCACGTACCGCTTCCTGACATCGAAGGTAAAACTTCATGATCATATTTAAACTATTGCTCTGCAAAGAGAGGAGTTAAACATTTTTCTCAGAAAAGTCATTGCACTGTCATTAGCACGCTATGAGGTGAACCAATATTCAAAATTGTGTTTGGCACTTTGACTTGGTCTTTGAAGATAAGGAGACATTTAGTTATGCTAATAATATGTTTTCACCACAGTTAGTTAATTGCTGAGGCAACAATGCTAATGCAAGAGCAATGTGACTGACATTTTGATTCAATAATTGCAAGTCAACTGGGGATTAAGAAGGGGAGAGTGCACTTGAAATACAGACACCCTGTCAAACTTTTTCTTTTATAAGCTACAGTTTTGTCCTTCCATTACACCTGCTGTCTGCTGCACAAAGACCATGAACATTTGTGAGCAAGTATGTGAACAAACGTAAGATTATCCACCTGGTGTTCCTTGATATCCCCACAAGGTTTTTCATTTAGGTCTGTGGCTTAATGCATTAAATATTCTTTAAAGAAGACTTTTAAGTTTGGCTGAAAAGATATTTTTGAGACAGATAAATAAGCATTTGAATGGACAATAGTAGCTTCTTTGATTTGTAGCTGGTGTCCTGGTTGTTCCATGTGAATTTCAAATTCAGACTGTCATGTGGGGATGAGACAACTCGTTTCTGTGTGTGTCACCCCCACCCCCCGAGAAGACGAGACCACACATCACTGACAGCACAAAGCCCGTAGGAGCACACACATGCTCTTTCTATGAGGCCGCATCATTTCTACAGAGGCACGGCATGCACATATGCACTTCCAATAAATATGCAACCAGAAACACACACAAACGTACACTCATAGATCTTGTTTTTCTATGTGGTGTCACCACATGGCAAGAATCCATTTTTTTTATCTTATCCAACATTGCCCTCTCTCTGGCACTGCAATTTTGCTTGGCCTTAACCATATGTTCACAGTCTTAGTAGGAGGATCCCTTGGGCAAGTGGCACATCTCCCCTTAAAAACCATCCCAGGGTCCCTGATAAGCGGCTGGCTTGTTCAAAGGGCTTGTGGGTATGTTGAGGCTCAGCCAGAGGTGGAAAGGTCCTGGAAGTCTGCGGGCCTCAGAGCTTCACGAGGACATGAACACTGGGGAGGTCGAGGATGCCAGGACACTGGTTCTTTTCCAATCTGTACAGGGATGCAGTTTCTTCTCATCTAGCCCTGACTGCTAATGCTTGTCAGAGGAGTCAAGGCACCTCCTGCATCCCCTCCCAGCAAGTGACTCAAGTCAAGCTTGTCAGGTTGATTTAAACAAACATAAGCTTGTTGCAGGGAGGGAAATGCTAACTAGAGATGTGGATGCTAATGAGGAAGAGCAGCAGTCATTAAGCCAGGGAAGGAAAACAGTACAGCAACAACACATTGACGGAAGAAAATAGCATCTATTATGTAAAAGGATGTTTCCTCTGAGGTCAGGTCAAATGTGTGATAAATGCTAAGTAATTGTGTGTGCACAATTTCCTGTGTTTTGACATTTGCTTGACTGATTTTTTTCACACACCTCTGACTGCATTCTGTAACCCAGAGGTGAATATCACTCGTGGATGTGTAACAACACTCCCTCCACCCCCCAACCCCCATCTCTCTCGCAACTTTACACCCACAGCTGGCTCTCCTCCGCTCTGGAGTGGACTATCACAGCCAACCATTGATCCTCACGGCAAGTCACGGCAGACTTGGCCTTCATGTCTTGTGATTCGCTCTGAGGACTTGCACAGTACTTATCAAAGTGCCCTGCCATGCTGATCATCTCTCCAAAAGAGCAGAGACCAAAGCTGTGAACGCAGAGACTTTTGAATCAGGCTTTTCTACAGGGGCGAGGATGGCTGCGTGCTCCATCAAGAGGAAAACTAAGTTTCAAACTGGCGTACACAGCGTTGCTTTCACAGTGCTAATTATGCAAAGCACTAGCTCACTACATGCTAATCTATAACTCCCAGAACCTTGTAGTGTTTTCCTAACTGGTGTTGGGAAGAATTCAATTTAGTGTTGATGCAACTTATTTTGTCACAGTATGTACTTTTTGTCTGAGATAGAGAAAACAAAGAATTGTTTTAATTAATTGTACTTGGTGATGTGTGTTGTTGTGTCCTGTCAGAAAGTCGTTGATTTTGGTTTCATGGACACAGAGGCATCCAGGAGACATCTTGTATCTGTGATCTAATTTTTCAGAATCAGCAGACTTCTTTCAACGCAACCTCAGGGTGACCCCTAGACTAGGTCTCTTTTATGTGGATTAAATAAACGAGATATAGGATATTAAAAAGTACGATTCAGAGGCAATGGTAGGTGGATATATTTACATTTAGGTAAGCCACGCTCAGCTCTTTTGTCCGGTGCTAAGCTAAGCTTGCTGGTTGTGGCATCATATTTAGTGTACAGAAATGAGAGTGGTATCGATCTTCTCATCAGACTTTTGGCAAGTAATTATGTGTATTTCCCAAAATGTCAAACTATTGCTTAAAGGCTGAGCCCAGAAACCCTGTAAAGAAAGCTCATTTCGGCCCTGCTTGTATCTGTGATCTCTGTTCGGTCATTACCCAAAGCTCATGACCATAGGTGCAGGTTGGAAAAGAGAGATGGAAAGTAGGTCAACGAGTATCGAGAGCTTCAGGCTCATGCTCCCTCTCTCTGCATCAACACTCAGTTGCGGTACAGGACAGTGTCCACATCTGGTGGTTCTGTGTTCCATCTTGCTCTCACTTGTGAATGAGACCCGGGGACATTCACTTGGGGGAAGATCCTAAATTCTGGTATTAGACCAGAATCAGGTAAGGAGAGATGATTAAAAGTGTGATATTGTTTGATGTTTGACGTCAATCAAGATCCTGCTGCTTGATGTCAAACATTCAGTAATTTCATTGCCTCATACAAAGATTGTAATGATTATATTCCCTGTCTTTACAGGTGATCCTGATTCTAACCAAGCTGTACGACTTTCATATTGGCAGCGTCACTGAGAGCACTCTTTGGAGGTGAGTAGCAGTAGATGTATTTTAATCCTTTAATGCTGCTCAGAGGGCCTAGGGGTAGACTTAGCTTTGTATAATAATTCTGTGATTGGTTTGATGTTTCAGCTAATTGATCAGTCAGTTTAATAGACAGTTCACTAATGAGGACCACACCAATACGAGGTATAAAGCAGTTTATTGGGATAATGAAGAGTAGATGAATGGGATGAAAGGGTCAAAGGGAGAGGGATGGAGGGGTCGAGGACAGAAGGATGAAACGGGGTTGTTTAGGGTTTGGTGTGGATGGGAACCCAGGGGTCGAGACTCTGGGTGATCTCGGAGAGCGGCTTGCTTATTGTCAGTTACTTAGTGGAAGTATTAACTCTAGAATGCATGTCTTTGACGGTGGGAGGAAACCTGAGTGCCCGGCGGAAACCCACGCGAGCATGGGGAGAACATGCACACTCCACACAGAAAGGCCTGGGCTGACCGAGGTCTGAACACAGGACCTTCTTGCTGTGAGGCCGCAGTGTTGTCCACTGGGCCGCCGTGCTTCTCATTGAAAGAGGAGAGAAAGAGGGTTTGAGGGGGAGGGATGTGAAACTGGATGAGGCACAGGTGGTTGAATTAGTGCGCGTGAGACAGGGCTGGTCCTTTTCCTGAACTTTAGTTATATAACTCCATTATATTCCAGTGACTGTGGTACTGTGGCCCACTGTGGGTAAACCCTTAAAAGAAGTGCTAGGCCTTCCTCATCTCTGTTTTGCTCACTCATTCATTTTTCTTGTGCAACTTTGAACCATCAGTCTCTTTCCCCACGTGTCTGCAACCACTCTGTGTCCCTTCCTACCCCTCCCCTGTGGCGCTGTGAACAGTATGTTCTGGTGTCATACACGGTCAGACAGGGCAGTCAGGGTGGAGCCTGCTGTTTGCCGTGCTGTCGTTCTGGCGTATTATCTGATGTACTCCCCTTCCTCAACCCTCCCGGAATAAAACAAAAACACATACACATGCACGCACACTCTTGAAACAAGAAGAGTACTTGTTGGGGGGGAGTACTCTAGCAAAAGGATGGGTAACACATCCCTGATGAGTTGAAACTGTGTGTAACCCATTTTCAGATCTGGATGGAATGTGTAAACACACAGAATTATTTCTTTTAGTTTTAGGAGTTTAATGATGATGCCACACACACGACAATGTCCTCCTGGACCAGATTTGGCCTGGGAAATATCTGCATGTTAGGACAAAGGGACTGCTCAGGTAACTTAATGTTCTCCAATCCCCTCCCAGAACAGCAATTGCTTAATGATGTAATTCAGCAACGGTAACTATGCACAGTATGTCTGTAAAGCTTTGGATTTTTCCACATGCTGAAGGGCTGTGTACGCTGTAGTAAGCGTGACAATCTGCATTTTTTCAATTGGGTATTAGGGCCACTGATCTGATATTCTGAGAATGATGCAACAAGAAAAAAGTCATAAGGTTAAAGTCATAATTTATCTAGATAAAAAGCTTTAATATTTCAAGAAAAAAACATTTATAGAATCGGTGGTTTCGATTCATATGTTATAGTTATAGGTTGACTTGATTACATGGGCATGTTTTAGCATTTCCTGTTATTTTGACTTGACAAAAGACTTGTGTTGGGACTGCAGTGTCACATTGTTTGGGACTGTCTCCCTGCTGCCAGGATGCTTCCCATTAAAAAGCTCAGTGAAGTGGCTATCAGTGAGCTGCGCTTTATCAGAGGTGTGGAAGCTAACATTTGTGTGGACATTAACCACACAAAGGTGAAATTAATGCCTGTTCAGAAGTGTTTTCAAATAGTTTTGGTCGTTCAGGAGCAGTGCACAGTAGCTACCCAACACTTTGTCTCTTCCAGAGAAAATCTAAGTGGGCTAAGGTTTCTGTCATTCAGCCTGAATGGGATACGATCATAGCAGAGCACATAACAATAACGTAATGCACAGCACACTATAGGACAGGTAGATACTAGTAGGTTTTCATATAATTTACATATAGCCCACTAAGCTTTAATCATTTTCTGATGCCATGACTGAACTCTGGTCTCAGCTGTCTGGAGAAAACCAGGTCCCCACTGTACTCCAGCTGCTGCTTAATATCGAGTCATACATCTTAAAACTGGTTTCATTTTCTCTGATAATAAGATCCGGACTTTATTGGTGAAACCTAGAACTTCCTGTCATCAACAGCCATCATTTTACATATAAGGCCAAAAAAGGCCTTATTGTTTACTACAATAAGAGTATTCAAATCTTGACTTTATTCTCAGTACATCGATAATATTGTGACTCTTTTCTCACCATATTTCCACTTTGTTCTTGAAATCCCTGCAGCTGGACTGATATGTTGATAATTCCACAGACTCTGAGAAGTGCCTCGCCAGACCACAGTGACGTTACACACGGCCGTTCAACCCATTCTGCTACAGTACAACCATACAGAAATCTATGGAGACTGCTTATAACTGGATATTCTGCTTTTTTTATGAAGGCTACCAGGGGTTTCTTAGAAGACAGCATCCAGGGATTAGGTGGAAGTGTTAGTTCTCACATCAGGTGTGGTGACACAGTGCTTTGCACCTGCCAGGCATCAGCTTCACTCACTGATATGCCACACTAGACGCGACAGCGCCACATGTGCCTCTACATGTAGTAACTAGAACTTTTCTATTCCCCAACCCCCCACACACCTTCCCTCACCAGCTGGGAGGTGTTTTTCCCCCCAACAGTGACATGAAATTTCCACCAAGGAGCACATCATAAACTAGATTAGTTGTGGAGTTACATGTTACATATAAAAAGCTTGACAGGAGGGTTAGAGAACAGCCAATTCTGTTTGTCAACAGCATTACATTTCATTTTGGGGTAATATGCTCACACCCAAACTGGGTTGCCTGGTAGTCATCAAAAGTAACCCTACGAAAGGAAAAGTTTAAGAGAGGAAGACTGAGGACGAGAGTATTTAGGTGAGGAAACTTTTTTTGATGAGAAAAATAGAGTAAGAGTGACTTGTTTGTTTACTACTCAAGAACATTCAATCCCATCTTTTCTTGATTCAGTTTAACTAGCCCCCATCTCCAATCATGCAGTTCTGCTCTTGAGTATCCAATTACTGGTTCAAACCCCAGGAGCTCTATTTGCCTAAAGAGAAAGGAACAGTATTCCATCTGTATGTTTTTTTTTTCTTTGAGACTTTAAAGATGGCAGTCCTTTAAAGCACAAAACATTTGCACTTCTCAAGCTTGAAGTAGTAGTTTGACAACGATAAGTGGTGCCAATGTGACTGCTAGCCATTTCTGACATTTAGACATCTACTGTGTAATTTGGACCCCAAGGCAAAAACAGAGCAGTGTTTTGGTGTTTGAATAAGGGCAAAGTCCCCTGATATTCTGGGGTAAGACAGAACACAACTGCTTTAGCTGCAGACACCATGGATCATAAAATAGTCTGGATATACTTCCTAAATAATTAAATGATTGTTTTGTTATAAACCTCTACTATCTGCATTTCAAAATTGTGTGCACCATCTGTCCTCTAATCCTCGTTAGCTTTTTTTCCATTGTGTATCCTATTATACAACTAAGAAAAAGGAAGGAAAAGACATCCTACAGTATGTGTAGAGGTTGAAATCTGTTCACTTTGATGATCCCAACAGTCCTTGTTGCATAAACACCCCTAGACATACCCCCTATTACAACCAGATGGAAGAAAAAGAACATAATGTAGCCTTCAGGAGAGGTGAAAACCATCATAATGCAAACTGAATGGAGCTGGAGTAAACTTGTATTTGCATTTATAAAAAACAAAAACTAGTTCTAGTTATCAAACTGCATTGCCTTACTTCATACTCCATCATCTCTGCATCTGACATGGTGCCCAATGGTGCTCAATGGTGCTTCCTTCACCAGTAAAATGTGTGTTTTTTATTGCAGATGTTTTTATGCCCAATATAGATAATATTTTATAACTAAGTACCTTATCAGGTTTGGAATGATTCACAGTGTTAAATAACAACATGCAAACGTGACAATGGCCTACTACGTTTTTTTTCTGTCGCTATGGTACTATTCACACAATATGTGGTAATATTTCACTACTCGTAGTACAAAAACACAACAGATTGTGAAAAATACCTTTAACTATAAATACATCTGACACTGAGTACAAAAAAAAAAACATCTAGAAAGACAATAAAATAAATTACGTTCATACAAAGTACATGCACCACTTTGGATAAGATTTTCCTCTCTATTGTTAAAATACATTTTACTAATAATCACTATGCTCATTCTTCCTAATTGATTGTCGCTGAAAATCAATTCAGCAGCTTATTATATATGTATGTATTGTTGGTCAGATTCAAACGCACAACCTTAGTGTTGGATAGCTTAGTGCTGCATTGATTACAGTATGCACAATGCAATACTGTAAAATACACTACATAATTACCATCCATAATTATTTTTATATTATTTGTTACATTTGATTATTGATGTGTTGCAATAAAAGTTAGCTTCTTGCATCAATGATTGGAGACGATGTCTTCTTTGATCACACTTTTGATTATGGGATAGATGTTATGGCTGATTGTGATAAGTAATGTACAGTTAAATTTTTGCCCAATGTGAAATGAACAGTAACAGATCACCTCAGAGTCATTTTGAAACAAAATTAAACATTTTGTCTTGGACTAGGTGATTGTTTGTGAGAGTTTTTGTTGATAGCTTTGGTACCATTATCACAACTAGTGGTAAAATTTCACAGCTCTTAGTACTCCAAACTCCAAACTCATCACTTGTAACACAGCCAGACTTTCGTTCAAACCACACAACCATCGATTCAAAATGTACAGTAAGTATCTCATGAAATGTCATGAGAAGATATGGTTCAATCACCAAAACACAACATGATGATATGTTTTCACTTTAGTCATTTTAACTACCAGTGAATCTAATGACAAACAGTGCGAGATACATGTTTCAAATCACCTTAGAAGTG